CACTAATCCACACTGCAGGATCCCCAAGTAGGCTCAATCTCATTGGGCTAGCGCCACAAAGGCCTTCAGTGTCTTGACTTCTCAGCTGTGGTTCACTGCCCTTAACTAAAGGGCACTTTGACAATATAAGAAAAACACACGGAAGCCACACCTGTTAATGGGAGGAATACTACCCCAAGGGCCAGATAAACTTTGGAGACCACTGTTCTAAGATCTAGAGTTCACAGATAAGCCAAAGATCCTCAACTTAAACACACAGGACACAGGCAACCTCTTTATATACCATGGGACGCCCCAAGCAAAGAAAAGAATGGGCAACAATTAGGCATACAGAACTGTGACAACCGGACCAAAAAAAAAAAAAAAAACATGGGTTAAATGCCCATTTTTAGAGTGCCACTACAAGAATCTTTTGTCTGAAAGCAGCATTTGCAGAAAACTGGGCCTCAATCTAGCGATATTTCTAGAAATAGAACAGAAGACAACGTGGTGGTGCTACAAAATGGGGCAACAGAGGCTTGGTCCCTAAAAGGGCCAGGAATCTCCCAATAGATCTGGTTCACATCATCTAACAGCACAAGAGAAGGTTTTAGTGTGACAGCATACACTTGTAATCAAGTTCCTTATCCATCATGCACTGGTGGATTTTAAAGCATGGTGACCCTGCAATGTACCAAAGAACAAACAGAGAATCGGTTTACCTAAAGGGAAGCAATAGCTTTTAGGTACACTAATGGCTGACTACCATCCACGCAATGTAGAGGAATTTCCTTCGGATATATAAGAGCAGGGCACAAGGACAGAAGAACAATGTCCTTATTGAGATAGAAAGCTAAAAGCACCTTTGAAAGAAAAGATGGTCTTTGTAGTAACAACTTTGTTTGAGGTATGAGAAAATTATCTTTACAGGAAAGGTCCAAAATATCAGAAACCAAAAAGGCTACTTTGCCAGAAAAGTATCTAAAGGGATATTCCTGATGGTTTTAAAAGGGTAGTTTCTGCAAGGCAGGGAGAACCAAATTAATCTCAGAGAAACACTAGGGTGCAGCAAAGAGGACCTAAAAGGTTTTTTACAAAAGAATGAAGATTAAACCATTTGAAAAAGGATAGAGAAGACCAAAAAAATCTCATTTTAGGGTGCGGAGAGCTAAATCTAGACCCATTTTGGAAGGGCAGAATGCGACAGAGTAATCTTGGAACTGAATTGACTTTGAGCACACAAGGTAAAGATGCATTTTCAGGTATGATACGAAATCTTCCTGGAAGTAGCTCTAGGTAGGAATCACAGACTCTAAAACCTTTACATCTCTTAAGACCAGGATTTTAATGGCCATGGTGAAGCAGGATGGAATAGAGGAGACTGGGATAGCAGGTCTGGCCTCTTCAGGAGATGCCAGGAGCCATCCACATGAAACCAGAGTATTTCTGTGTATTAGGTGTACATCTGTGGAGCAGACAAGGTAGAATACCAAGTGGAGGGAAGGCATTAGTTAAGACTGAAATGAGACCTGGAGAGAACTAGAGCATCTGAGGCAAGAGCTAGAGGAGCCCTAGTTCTGGCAACACACACAGGTAATTGGTTGAATCAGGAAAAACAGAACGTCCACATCTGCAAAGGGAGTATCTGTCCATGATCGAATCTGTCTAGTCTCTCACAAGGCAGCCAAGCTCCTCATGCACTCCTGATTTATAATGCCACTGTGGCAATGAATAATTCTGTTCACCTTGAGCGTGTGTTTATATATGTAACCACTAGTAATGGGCCAAACAGTCCCCGTTTGGTTCGCAGTCGAACATTCCGCTACCGAATTGTGGCCAGGGGCATTGCTTTGGCAAATCACAATGCATTGAGCACAGTGCATTGTGAGGTGAGGCGTGGCGGGCCAACAGTCCACCTAACGCCCTTACCGTTCATGTGTTCACTGAACACACAAACAACCGATGCTCTTGTCAAACTTCAGTATGACTCAAACAAAAAGGACATCACTTACGTCACCTGTACACAGTGTTTGCAAAAACTTAGATGTATTCCTTAGTTTCTCCACATACTCTGACATCACCACCTATGGAAGGGAGTTCTACATCCTTACCACTAACCGTAAAGAGCCACTTATGAAGTTTAGAATTAACCGCTTCTCTTTCAACCTGTGTGGCAACCTATCCTCTAAAGACCTTAGATCAGGGGTGCTTAACCATTTTGAGAGCGAGGGTCACTTAAGTGATTTGGTAACCAGTCACTGGCCACAAGGAAATGGTTCAGAATGTCTAATTTTTTATTTTAAAATAGCATAATTAACATTTTCTTCTTGCAGCCAGTGGGAGGGAAAAGACAAGCTGGCTTTCAGCAGCTGCAGGAGGAAAATGTAAAGGACAGTTTCCTGTATATGCCGCCCATCCTGTACAAGTGTAAAACAAAGTGATGGAGGCCGCACAGGCCCCCAGGAGCATGGGGCAGAGTGGTCATTGCAATCCCTGATGCTACACTAGTGAAAACAAGCTCTTATAAAGGTATTTTGACACTAATGAGCTGTGGTTTCCCTGCACATTTGGTGCAGGGCAGTGCACCTGCAACTTTCCTGTGGGGTAACTACGCTATGCCATTAGACTTCTATTATATCTTGTGGGTGTGGTGCACTTTCAGAAAGCATTGAAATTTGGTGTGCTTTCAGAAAGTGCACAAAACCTGCAGGATATAATAAAAGTCTAAACACACGGATCAGTGTGAAAGCAGCTTAACAGTTGTTAGGCTGCCAATATGCACATTGCAAAAGTGCTGTGTCTGTATTGTTTACCACACTGATCATTTTTTTCTCTACCAGCTTCTGCTGTTATTGCTCTCCATCACGAGGTTGATAGAATGGTTCCTGGAGTGAAGTGTACCATGGAATCACTCTGCATCAGGTGGGAGCTTGCGCTACAGAAGAAGCATTGACTTATGCAGGGCCCCTTCTCCCTCCCCGGCTGCCTGTTTCCTACACTTCGATGCACTCTAATGTTCTGGGATGGCGAATCGGAAAGCCCACATCCCGATCAACGGGGATGCTGACCTTGACAGGACTGAGATTGAGCTCTGCAGTCACTTTGAATAAGAAAACTGCTTCTAGAGTCACAATCCTGTATATGGGGCAGTTTTTGCATTGATGTCAATGGGAGGGGGGCAGTTGTTGCATTGTCAATGGGGGGGGGGGGGGGGGGGGGGCTTTTTACATTGCGTCAATGGGGTGGCAGGTTCAGGACGCCACCGACGTCAATGGGGGGCAGTTTCAGGATGCCACTGACAGCAATGCAAAACTGCCTCCCACCGATTTGACAGTGAGGCTGAGAAAGGCTAATCTGGGGGGGAAAAAAACAAAAAAAACCTACCTGATACCTGGAACTGCATGTCCCAGGCGGCAGGTGATATAAATAGTGCATACCTGCTCCCTCACCATCTCATCCCCTTCACAATACAGCCCCCCCCTTACACCCCAGTCCCCTTTACAGTTCCACCCCCCCCCCCCCATTCTAGTATACCAGTTCACTGCCCCCCTTCCTTACATTCACAGCACCCTTTACGTGAAAGGCCACTCTGTTACATCACATTTTCCCCTTCCAATCATAGCCCTTCTCCAACCTTTCCAATCCTGCCCTGCAGAGCAGTTGTTAGAGGCAGAAGGCGCAGCATATTTGGACAGAAAACCGGGTGATTTCTAAAATCACCCCCCCAGTGTCCTAGCAACAAATTACCGGCTTGTAAAATTGATTGTGCAGCCCCACACTCTCTGCAGACATGCCGCACCTTCTGCCTACCATCTGATGAAAAGATGAAAGCGGAGGTGGTGGGGGAAGGAGGTTATCCGCAAGGAGAGGACGGATGTGCTGAGATGCAGTACGAATAGGACACTCATTCATTCCAGGTCCAGCATTTCTTGACATCTTTCCTAAGGTACTGGTACTGATTGAAGGATGCTTTTACTCCACAAAATTGTAGACCAGGCCTTTTCTGACAGACACTTTGTTTACAAGTAAAAATCAGTATTTTTTGCAAGAAAATTACTTAGAACCACCACACTTTTTTTTTTTTTTTTTTTTAGCAGAGGTGCTAATAAGAGGAAAAAAAAACAAAACAAAAAAAAAAAGGAAACAAAAACACACACACACACACACACACACACACACACACACACACACACACACACAATACAGAGCTCAATTTTTGATACCACTTAAAAGATATTATGCTAAGTAAATCAAAACCTTAAATAGTATGCTTTAATATTAGGCACGCTTGTGAAATGGAAACAAAACTACAATATTTAAAATCTCCATAGGTGACGCTTTCAAACTTTTATCAGGTTACCAGTTTAAAGTTCCAGAGGAGGTCTAGCTATAATGTTCGCAGTGATACCTCACGTGTGGTGCAAATACAGCTTACGTGCGTGTCCAACATATGCGTTCAACACGTGCGTGGGCACAAGGGGGGGTGGCGCTTTAATTTTTCATTTTTTACCAATTTGCAAACATTTCTTGTGAAGCACAACATTTATGAGACCTCAGATCTCTCCTCTACCCTGGAAAGTATGAGATCAAATTATATTTAAAAAAAAACAAAAAAAAAAAAACATTGACCTCGTGCTTTCCAGCGTTTACTTCTGCCTTAACTGGAAATGACGAAATGCTGTCGCTTCCTGTCTCCTAGACCACACAGATGGCTGGAGAGAGGCAGAGTTGGGTGGGGGGGGGGGGGGGGTGAACAACTCTTTCCGCTGCCTGAAAAAGCAATCCAGCATACCAGGTTATAATAAAAAAAAAAAAAAAAAAAAGGCTATTTGGTATAATATTTTAACTTAAATATTTTAGTTACTGCCAATCTAAAGTTAAGCTCTGCCAGTTTGCACCAGATCTTTAATAGCGCAGAATAAAATAAATCACACTTACTCTAGGGCTTCAAGCTTTTCTTTTTTCTTCTCTTCCTTAAGACGCATTTTTGCTGCCTTTTCTCTATCATCTTTTTCTTTTTTTTTTTTCTCCTTCTCCTTCGCCTTTTGCTCCCGTTCTTCATCTCTCTTTTTTTTTGCTTCTTCTTTTGCTCGCTCTTTGGCAAATTTTAATTCTTCCCTGATACGATCCCGATATTCCTTTTCCGTCTGCAATTTTAGCCTCTTTTCCTTGTGTGGAGAAAAAATGTAAAAGACAGGTAGTACAAAAAGTTGTAGTAAAGTAGTACGACAGGTTAACATATGACATCTTTTAAAGTAAATAAAACGCTCTAACAAGCATTGTACTAACAGTCTGACTTCGTTCTTTTAGATTTACCTGCTACATTTTAGCCTAAAGGACATATGTACACAATACAAATTATGGATCAAGTATGCCTATAAGTTAGGCATATACTCGTAAAATTTCCTCAAAAAAAAAAAAAAAAAAAAAAAAAAAAAAAAAGGTTTTTGCTTTGATTCTTTTGATTTCCTAATTTAACGCTAATCAACGTTTTTGTTCATAGTGATGTGAAAAAAAAAAAGGAATTAATTTCCATCAGTGTATTTAGCATTTGTTCAAGATAGTCCATTCATTCCAGAATAAAGGCCTTCAGTCGTACGCTCGTACTACATCGAATCTGTTTAGCAATTATGAGTTGAATGGCAGCCTAACCTTTTTGGGAGCACTCACTTAACGTACGCAACATTGGTTGTGTTCCTCACAATCAGACACTGATGCCCCACGTGCCCATCCCCCCCTCAGTCTAAAGGTGGTCAACAAGCAATTTGGACCCGACCATTACAACCGTAGCAGACGGACACCAGAAATCTTAAGCAAAATAGTTGTGCACTGGAGCAACTGTGACGTAAAACCAAATCTCAGCAAGCATTCACCCTATATAAATCTGCTTTTAACATACAATTCCTCCCTCTATGCTGCCAAACAAGCCTACTTTGTCACTCTTATTAATACCTTGTCATTCAGTCCTGATCTCTTCTCTACTTTTAGCTCTACTTTCTCCACCTCCACCCAGTAACTCACCCACTGCTTACAAGATTGACAATCATTTCAAAAACAAGATTGATGCAATTCGTAGGGGCATCTCCACTACTCAGACCCTCTATCCCACTTGGCATACCATAAGGTATGCCAAGTGGGATAGATATCTGTGTAGCGAAGATGTATAAACAAAACCTCCCTCAACACTTTCCTCTTTTGACCTTGCTACTACTGAAGAAGTCACTAAAGTTTTCGCAGAAGCCCGTCTCACCACATGCCCCCTTTGATCCTGCCCTCTCTCAGCTACTTCTAGTCACCCTCTTCTGCTGTCCTATGCTCCCTCACATCTTCAATCTCTCCCTCTCTAGTGGTGCCTTCCCCACCCCTCTGCATGCACAGATCACTCCCATACTTCCATTAAAAAAAAAAAAAAAAAAAAAAAAAAAAAAAACCCTTAAGACCCATCTCCCTGCTCCCGTTTACCTCTAAACTTTTAGAACACTTAGTCTACAATCACCTGGGCTACTACTTCACTGACAACCTTCTTGACACTTTACAGTCTGGCTTTCGCTCACTACACTCCACTGAAACTACTCTACTAAAACTCACTAATGATTAACTGCTAAAACCAATGGCTACTACTCCATACTCTAACTACTTGACCTTTCTGCGGCTTTTGATACTGTTGACCATTCCCTCCTCAAAAAAAAAAAAACTCCACTCTTGGACTCCGAGACTCTGCTCTGTCCTGGTTCTCCTATCGCAACGCTCCTTCAGCATTACCTATAACTGTCTCCTCCTCTCCACTTCCTCTTTCTGTAGGGGTCCCCTCAAGGTTCTGACCTTGGACCACTTTTCTCCATCTACACCTCCTTCCTTGGTCCCTTGATAAACTCCCATGGCTCCATCTCTATGCTGATGACACACAAATCTATCTTTCTACTCCTCTTCAGTCTCCTCTCGCATTACTAACCTACTAAGTGACATAGCATGGATGTCACTCCACTTCCTTAAACTAAATCTTTCCAAAACTGAGCTCATACTATTCTCTCCAACCAGTGCCCCCTCCCCTGACTTCTCCCATCAATAATACAACCATCAGTCCTTCCCATCATGCCAGGGTAGTAGGTGTAATCCTAGACTCCCATCTGTCCTTTCAGCCCCAAATCCAATCACTGTCCAAATCTTGTAGACTTTACCTCTGCAACAACTCCAAGATACGCCCGCTCTTAACCTCTGAAACCACTAAGCAACTTATTCACTCCGTTATCTCTCGCCTTGACTATTGTGACTCCCTCCTCATTGGCCTACCTACTCATAGGCTATCCCCTCTTCAGTCTATCCTGAATGCTGCTGCCAGACTCATCCACCTTAATAATCATTCCATATCTGCCAATCCTCTCTACCAATCCCTCCACTGGCTTCCCATTGCCCAACGAATAAAATTCAAAACATTAACATTAACATATAAAGCCATTTATAACTCTGTCCTAAATTACATCACCAATCTGGTCTCCAAATATCACCCAAACCATCCTCTGCTCTTCCCATGACCTCCTGCTCCCTTGTCTCCTCCTCCCATACTTGTCTCCAGAGCCTCCCCCATCCTCTGGAACCCTCTACCCCAATCTATCTGCCCACTTTTAGGCAATCTCTGAAAACCTCTCTTCAGGGAAGTGTATCCCACCTTGAGCTAATAATGGAATCTTCTATTCCTCCTATCAGTTCATCCCCCACAGTTACCTTTTGTACCAACAGCCCCTCCCTCTTAGACTGTAAGCTCCAAGGAGCAGGGCCCTCATAACCCTCTTGTATTGAACTTTAGCATTCCAGTATTGTCTCCCTTTATATTGTAAAGCTCTGTGCAAACTGTTGGAACTATATAAAATCCTGTAAAATAATTTATAGAGCAGGTAGTTACTTTGCGGGAAGACAATTGTTCTGCAGCTAAACAGCTTGAAAAGAGCCAAACGTTGAAAATACATTTTTAAAGGTTTGATTTAATAGGTCAGTTGCATTAAAAAAAAAAAAAAAAAAAAAAAAGTATGTTTTCTGTTCTAATGGTTATTTTTCAAGAACGTGCAAAACAAAAAAATACAAACATTTAAAGAAAACTTGGATTTGAATAAGGCAATTTAGAAAAGATGCTTTGTGCAAAACACATTATACAGTGTCATGAAATTTAACCAATGCAAAATACAGGATTCTGGAACCCCTTATTGTTCCAGTCAGAGCCTCCAAATAGGGTACAAACTGAGTGCCCATAGGCAAAGTAACAGGCTAATCAAGAAATAAGATGCTATAAAACAGGTTGCTAAAATCACAATAACCTACAGAACCCATTATCAAAGTGTATGTATATGGGTGCCAAAAAGAGCAGAAAGAAAAAGGGTAAAGGGAAAAAAAAAAAAAAAAAAAAGTGTAAAAGAAAAAATGCAGGGGGAGAAGAAAAAGAATAAGCGGTATAACAGAATCAGTGAAGGTTGAATAGGCTTGTCCCCGCTGGTAATCCTTCCAAAAGGCCAGGCCCCTAAGCTCCACCATCTCTATATAAACAATCTGTACATTGAAAATATTGCTGCCAAGGAAACCAGATCTCAAATTTCCATTATCTACGAAGATGCTGGCTAACTTCCTATGAACTCTGACTGGACGAGAGTTCATGTCCCTACGCACTACATGGCTACCTGATTTTAAAAAAAAATTACTTTTAGTCAAAATTACAAAACGTACAATATGTATTAGGTATGAATACAGTGAAGGAAATTATTTGATCCCCTGCTGATTTTGAATGTTTGCCCACTCACAAAGAAATGATCAGTCTAAAAATCGAATGGTAGGTGTATTGTAACAGACAGAACAACAACAAAAAATTCAAAAGAAATGCATGTCTAACAAATTATGCACTGATTTGCATGTTTATGAGGGAAAAAAGTATTTGATCCCTTTCATAAAGCATGCCTTGGTACTTGGTGGCAAATCCCTGTTGGCAATCACACGTTTCCTGTAGTTGGCCACCAGGTTTGCACACATCTCAGGAGGTATTTTGGCCCACTCTTGGCAAATCCTATCATTAAGTCATTAAGGTTTGGTGGCTCCCTCCACAGATTTTTCAACCAGATTAAGGTCTGGAGTCTGGCTAGGCCACTCCAGGACCTTAATATGCTTCTTTTTGAGCCACTAATTTGTTGCCTTGGTCATGTGTTTTGGGTCATTGTCATGCTGGAACACCCATCCACGACCCATTTTCAATGCCCTGGCTGAGGGAAGAAGGTTCTCACCCAAGATTTGACAGTACATTGCCCAGTCCATCGTCCCTTTGATGCGTTGCAGTTGTCCTGTCCCCTTAGCAGAAAAACACCCCCAAAGCAGAATGTTTCCACCACGTTTGACAGTTGGGATGGTGTTCTTGGGGTCAAAGGGAGCATTCCTCCTCCTCCAAATATGGCGAGTTGAGGCCAAAGAGCTCGATTTTGGTCTCATCTGACCACACCACTTTCAACCAGTTATCCTCTGCATCATTCAGATGTTCAGTGGCAAACTTCAGATGGGCCTGGACATGTGCTTTGAGCAGAGAGACTTTGCGGGCATTGTCGGCGTAGTGGGTTTCCAACTTTTTTGGTGACTGGTTCCAGCTGCCTGGAGATCATTGACAAGATCCTCACATGTAGTTCTGGAATGATTCCTCACTGTTCTCATGATCATTGACACTCCACGAGGTGAGATCTTGCATGGTGCACCAGACCTAGGAAAACTGACAGTTTTGTGTTTCTTGCATTTGCGAATGATTGCACCAACTGTTATCACCTTCTCACCAAGCTGCTTGGCGATAGTTTGGTAGCCCAGCCCAATCCAGCCTTGTGTAGGTCTACAATATTGTCCCTGACATCCTTGGACAGGTCTTTGTCATGGTGGAGAGTCTGGAACCTGTTTGATTGCTCCTGTGGACAGGTGTCTTTTATACAGGTAACAAAATATTAGCAGCACTCCCTTTAAGAGACTGCTTCTAATCTCAGCGTGTTACCTGTATGAAAGACACCTGGTAGCCAGAAATCCTGCTGAATGATAGAGGATCAAATACTTATTTCCCTCATGAACATGCAAAATCAGTGCATAATTTGTTAGACATGCATTTCTTTAGAATTTTTGTTGCAATACAGCTACCATTCGATTTTTAGACTGATCATTT